GGGCAAGGAGGGTATAATGGAGGGTATGAAAAAGTATTTGTGAAAAAAATGGGTGGGTGAGCGTTTCTAGTAGGGAGATCGGTGTGATCAAGAGCTTGGAAGCCTGAAACAGGATGCTATGACTGGGGGACCGTGAGGAGTCGAACGTGTCTGTGGGCATAAGTTTTGGGGTTTGGATGGTACAGCTAGAGATGAAGCTAAAATGGGAGGTAGGCCGAAGCCAGGTCAGGGAGGGAGGTCCTGTGTGCAGTGGTAAGGAAAATCATATCGATTGCCTCTTATGTGCCAGGAGCAATGTTATATTGCTTTATACAGTGCCTGCTTTCATCCTTAGAACAGCCCTGTTGCTAGAATCTACTGCTGCCATTTTTCAGATGGTGAAACTCAGTCTCCGAGAGGCTGTGGCATGACTAGAGGCCTACAGCTGGTTAAGTGGCAGAAGTAGGACTCCAGCTCAGATCTCTTTAGCTTGGAAGGTCCCAATCACACTGTTCTGCCTTGTGGTTCTCAGTCAGTCTCCTGCTGGGCCCTAGACTAGCAGGAGTGTCTTGGGGCTGCCATGGAGGATGACTAAGAGGCTGAATGGCCGTGAAAGAGCCCAACCAGGGCAGCACTGCCTTTAATCTGTTTTCTGTGTGGCGACTCAGTGTGGGTCAGCGATGGGGACAGAGGGGACAGGAGAAGGAAGAATATAGGATGACTGCCCAGTTTCTGGCTTGGTTGTCTAACCGATGATACTCTTAACTGTTTCGTTCCAGAGAAAAGGGCAGTGCTGCTTAAATTTCACTCATTTATGCATCACCTTGGTGATTTTGGTCAAATTGGAGGCACCTGTATTGTTATTTATTAAATTTTTTTTGAGTTTATTTCGTTTTAGTAATCTCTACGCCTACCTTGGGGCTTGAACTCAGGACTCCTAGATCAAGAGTCCATGTTCTTCTGACTGAGCAGCCAGGTGCCCCTAAATTTTTTTAAAGATTTCTATTTTTAAGTAATCTCTACACCCAGCGTGGGGCTCAAACTTGCAACCCCGAGATCAAGAGTCATATGCTCTACCAACTGAGCCAGCTAGGAGCCCCATTATTATCTATTTTTGATAATCCATAACTTAAGTTTACTTAGAAAGGAAACTGTAATATCCCAGAAAGTATAGGTTTAGTGCACTACATATATTTTTTAGTCATCAATTTCAAATATATAGATACAAAAGTAGAGTACAAATAGAGGACAAATTATTTTTTCATCTGCTGCCTAAAATCATCTCATATACCCCCAGTGATATGTATTCTTCCCAACAGGAAACATTTAGGTAGGGAATATGGGAGGAGAAGCAACAAACAAATGCTTAATTGATAATTGATTAATTCTTTTTTTTTTTTTTTTTAGAACATCTTAAATTTTTAATCCTTTCTTTACAGGTTACCTAGACCGCTTTTGATTAAGAAAACTGTAGAAAGTTAGTAACTGCCACAAGCAAACGCCAGGCAGCCGCACTTGTCAATTTTCCACAGAGTCCTGCTTTGCGGGGGTCTCCGCTCACACTCGCTGGAATCGGTCGCGGCAGAGTTTAGTCCACAGGTCGCTTCTCCCCGTATTTCTTTGTAAACTCTTCAGCATTCTTACAGAATTTTTTACGGTCCTTAGAGTATTCTTCAGCTAGGTCAGCCCGAAGTGGGTGCTCGGGCTGGGGGTCGTTCACCAGTGCTATGAGGGACTGGATTACTTGGTCGGTTTTGGTTGCTGGCTTCCAGTTTTCAGCACTAATTACTGGCAGACAGACCTGCCCCTTTTCATCGATGTTCGGGTGATAGATCTTTGTTTTAAATGTGATCTTCGGTGGTTTGAATGGGTACTCTGCTGGAAAGTTGATTTCGATTCTGAAGGCCCCCTTATCATATGGAGGGTTGTCAGGAACAATAAGCCCTTGCCAAGTCAATAAATTAGCTTCATCAACCTGGATGTTACGGAAGTTTTTCATTCCACATTTGTGGATTTCTTCAAGCTCCTTCATCAGCCTCCTGCTGGCCGCCATCTTGGATCTGGGGCTGCTCTAATTCTTTTAAGGTAAGGGAGAAGGGGCACCTGGCTGGCTCAGGTCATGAGTCAAAGCCCCATGTTGGATGTAGAGATTACTTAAATAAATAAATAAACTTAAAAAATAAAGGAGAAGTGGCAGAAAAGAGGAGTTAATGAATAGGAGAAATTTTGATTAATATAGTCTGTGTTTGATAGCATATATGAAAGTGGGTTCTTTGGGATGATGTAAAGACCACATTTTTGAAGGCCAAGTCTGTGAAGAATAAATGGACCAATAGAATGAAAGAGCTGCAGTTGGGCCAGGGTAGCAGTAACTTTTATCAACGTTTGTAGCAACCACCTCCCCCATGGTTACAAAATGATACATGTTTATAAAAACCTCATACAGCCCAGAGGTTTGAAGAGTACAAAGTGAGAATCTCTCTATAATCCACCTCAATTTTAATGGATTCTTTTTATGAATACATCATTTCTTAATCTAAGTGGGACTATAAAATGTATATATATATTTCTGTAATCTGCTTTGTTTTTTTTTTTTTAAAGATTTTATTTATTTATTTGACAGAGAGAGACACAGTGAGAGAGGGAACACAAGCAGGGGGAGTGGGAGAGGGAGAAGCAGGCTTCCCGCTGAGCGGGGAGCCCGACGCGGGGCTCGATCCCAGGACCCCGGGATCACGACCCGAGCCGAAGGCAGACGCTCAACGACTGAGCCACCCAGGCGCCCCGTGCTTTGTTTCTTTTAGAAGTTTATAATGGGCTTCTTTCCGTGGTCAATATCTATCTACCTATCTATTCATATACAGATAGAATACAAGAACAAGAAAGTGTTTATGCTTTTTAGTAGTTTCATAATATTCCATCGTGTAGATGGAACATAATTTTTTAAAGGCTCTCTTTTTATTTTTATTTATTTTTAGAAGTTTACTTTTTGGGGCACCTGGATGGCTCAGTCAGTTAAGTGGCTAACTCTTGATTTTGACTCAGGTCACGATCTCAGGGTGGTGAGATTGAGCCCTGCTCGGGTTCCGTGCTCAGCAGGGAGTCAGAGCCTGCTTAAGATTTTCTTCCTCTCCTTCTGCTCCTCCCCCTGCTGTGTGCTCTCTCTCTAAAATAAATAAATAAATCTTTAAAAAAAAAGTTTATTTTTAAGTAATCTCTACACCCAACGTGGGGCTCAAATTCATGACTCTCAGATCAAGAGTAGCATGCTCTACCAACTGAGCCAGCCAGATGCCCCATTTTTTTGTGAAGATTTTTTTTTTAAGTATTTATTTATTTATTTATTTATGTAATCTCTACACCCAGTGTGACACTCAAACTCACAACCCTGAGATCAAGAGTCACATGCTCTTCCAACTGAGCCAGCCTCTGGAACGTAATTTTTTATCCACTTCATCATAATTAGGTGTTTTCAATTTTTGTTATTTAATAATGCTGCAGTGAACATTTATTTTTTATTTTTAAAAGCTGTTTTCTTTTTTTAAGATTTTATTTATTTGAGAGAGGGGAGAGCACACAGAAACAGGGGGCGGGGCATAGGGAGAGGGAGAAGCAGACATGGGGCTCGATCCCAGAACTCCAGGATCATAACCTGAGCTGAAGGCAGATGCTTAACTGACTGAGCCACCCAGGCGCCCCTGTTTGCTTTTTTTTTTAAACTGAAGTATAGTTGATACACAATGTTAACATTCTTATGTCTCTTTGAGTCTCGTCTGTAAAATGGGAATGAGAGTAGTATATACCACATAGGGTTGTTGTGAGGATAGATAGGATACTACTTATAAAGTGTTTAGAGGGGCGCCTGGGTGGCTCAGTTGGTTAAGCATCTGACTTTGGCTCAGGTCACGATCCCAGGGTCCTGGGATTGAGCCCCGGTCACTCCACGCACGCTCGATGGGGAGTCTGCTTCTCCCCCTACCTCTGCCCCTCCCCCCACTCTCTCCACTCCCTCTACTCTTCCACTCTTCCACTCCTGCTCTCTCTGTCTCTCAAATAAATAAATAAAATATTAAAAAGTGCTTGGAGCTGTGTCTAATACATAGTAGGCACTCAATGAATGTTATTGTACAAACATCTGTGTACTCTTGTCTAATTATTACCTTAGGATAAATTCATATAAGGGTAATTGCTGAGTCAAAGGATATGGACTTTATTTTTTTTTTCCAAAGATTTTATTCATTTGACAGAGAGAGACACAGCGAGAGAGGGAACACAAGCAGGGGGAGTGGGAGACGGAGAAGCAGGCCTCCCGCGGAGCGGGGAGCCCGATGCGGGGCTCGATCCCAGGACCCTGGGATCATGACCTGGGCCAAAAGCAGATGCTTAATGACTGAGCCACCCAGGCGCCCCAGGATATGAACTTTAAAAAAAAAGCCTTTTTGTTGTGAAATACAGATATAGAAAACCACACAGAACAGATATAAAGTTTAATGAATTATTACAAAGGGAACACCTTTGTAAACCTCAAGCAAGTCAGGAAATAGAATTTGGCCAGCCACCCAGAAGGTATCCATGTATCCCTATCCATTTAC